ATGAACATGAGTAAAATCTATTATGGTAAATAATATGATAATACAAATATTGATAAAAAAAAGTTTCCAGAATAATTAATTCTTATTATTATTATTATTATTATTATTATTATTATTATTATTATTATTATTACTATTATTATTATTATTATTATTATTATTATTATTACTATTCTCATTACTATTTTTATTATTCAAAGGTTTGATAAGGTCATGGTAGTCTACATTCATTTATTCATTCATTCATTTTCTTTTCGCTTAGTCCCTTTATGAATCTGGGTCGCCACAGCTGAATGAACTGCCAACTTATCCAGCATATGTTTTACGCAGCGGATGCACTTCTAGCTGCAACCCATCATTGGGAAATCCATACACACTCACACACACTAAGGTCAATTATAGCATACTCAATTCACCTGTACCACATGTCTTTGGACTGTGGGGGAAAACGAAGCACTCGAAGGAAACCCACGCCAACACGGAGAGAACATGCAAACTCCACACAGAAACCCCAACTGACCCAGCCGAGGGTCGAACCAGCAACCTTCTTGCTGTGAGGCAAATGTGCAACCCACTGCGGCACTGCGTTACCTCTAAAGGATCACCTACTGTAAAGAATCAAACGACAAAAACACAAGACAACAAATACTTCAATGTTGCTTTAAATTATTTAATAACTTAATTATACAAAGTTTAACTTCATAATTTGAGTCAGTTTGATTGATGTAAGTTGAGATGGCTTAAAAAGTTAATTTGATTCAACTAAAAGAATTAAGGCAGCGAGATTTTACAGCGATGACACACAGTAAAAATGCAGGGCTGCACACAATTCATTTTTATTGTCCCGACTCAAATTTATTAAGTTAGCTTAACAAGCTTAAGTGAATTGAACATGAATTAGGTTTTCTTCAAAAATCTCAAGACTCGTGTTGTTTCAGCTCATTTTAAATAAGTAGTTTGAACAAGCAGCAAAGATATCTTTTGAGTGCAGTAAATGCTCAGTGCATGAATGCATGAACTCAAGCCTGAAAATAATTAAAAATCATAAAAAATAAAGAAATTATTTTGCATAATAGCTACATACACTCACCGGCCACTTTATTAGGTACACCTTACTAGTGCCGGGTTGGACCCACTTTTGCCTTCAGATCTGCTTTAATCCTTCATGGCAGAGATTCAACAAGGTGCTGGAAATATTCCTCAGAGATTTTGCTCCATATTGACATGATAGCATCACGCAGTTGCTGCAGATTTGTCGGCTGCACATCCATGATGCAAATCTCCCGTTCCACCACATCTAAAAGGTGCTCTATTAGATTGAGATCTGCTGACTGTGGAGGCCATTTGAGTACAGTGAACTCATTGTCATGTTCAATAAACCAGTCTGAGATGATTCACGCTTTATGACATGGTGTGTTATCCTGCTGGAAGTAGCCATCAGAAGATGGAGACACTGTGCTCATAAAGGGATGGACATGGTCAGCAGCAATACTCAGGTAGGCTGTGGCGTTGATGCTTATTTGGTACTGATGGACCCAAAGTGTGCCAAGAAAATCTCCCCCACACCATTACACCACCACCACCAGCCTGAACCGCTGATAAAAGGCAGGATGGATTCATGCTTTCATGTTGCTGACGCCAAATTCTGACCCGACCGAATGAGGCAGCAGAAATGGAGACTCATCAGAGCAGGCAACGCTTCTCCAATCTTCTATTGTCCAGTTTTGGTGAGTCTGTGTGAATTGTAGCCTCAGTTTCCTGTTCTTAGCTGACAGGAGCGGCACCCGGTGTGCTCTTCTGCTGCTGTAGCCCATCCGCCTCAAGGTTGGACGTGTTGTGTGTTCAGAGATGCTCCTCTGCAGAGCTCGGTTGTAACGAGTGCTTATTTGAGTTGCTGTTGCCTTTCTATCAGCTGGAACCAGTCTGGCCATTCTCCTCTGACCTCTGACATCAACAAGGGATTTGCACCCACAGAACTGCCGCTCACTGGATTTTTTCCTCCTTTCAGGCCATTCTCTGTAAACCCTAGAGATGGTTGTGCGTGAAAATCCCAGTAGATCAGCAGTTTCTGAAATAATCAGAGCAGCCCGTCTAACACCAACAACCATGCCACGTTCAAAGTCACTTAAATCCCTTTTCTTCCCCATTCTGATGCTCAGTTTGAACTTCAGCAGATCGCCTCGACCATGTCTACCTGCCTAAATGCATTGCTGCCATGTGATTGGCTGATTAGAAACTTCTGTTAACAAGCAGTGTGATAGGTGTACCTAATAAAATGGCCAGTGAGTTTATATTTGCACATATAAAAATGCTTATTCCGACCTGTAATTATTATTAATATTAAAGAATGAGTGAAACTGTATCATTTTTGAGGTAAAGTCAGAATCCTGTTGTTCCTCTGCGTCATTCTGCAGGATCATCGGTGTGTTTGTAGGTCAGCTCAATCTCTGAGTTTGCTGAGGAAACATCCAAAGCTTTCTTCATCTGAAGACGCTAATTAAACTCTTTCTTTGCTAATTAGCTGGAATGCTTTGGCAGTGTTGCGTTAGAGCAAACGGCAGATTCCTTCACAACATTAGCAGCCGTCTGAGAAAAGACGTTCAGATCAAAAGCCTGTGCTGTGCTTTAATTCTGAAGATGATAACAATGCACACGCTAAAATATGCCATGCTGAAAACCTAAAAATAAATCTCATGTCAAAAGTGCTCAGCTGTAATCTCAGATCAGAGCTTTGATGTACATCATGGTCCTGAAATTTACACTGCATCATTTTACACCAGGACATTTGTTTGCAATTATGTGCTTTATTTTTGTACGGTTATGAATAAAGTAGGCCAATAGAGTATATTGTTAATGCTTAAACACCTTTATTGATTTATTTTTGTCTTTATTGCATAGATTATTTGTTCAGAAAGCCTGAATACATTTGTTTTCATCTTACACTGTATCTATTGCTGGATTCCACACAATTTAATTGTGTTGGGGCAACATTAAGTTAACCTATTATCCATTCATTCACTTTCTTTTCAGACATAGTGGAATGAACCACCAATTTATCCAGGATGTGTTTTGCACAGCGGATGGCCTTCGAGCTGCAACCCAACACTGGGAAACACCCATACACTCGTACATTCACACTCATACACTATGGCCAGTTATTCAATTCACCTATAGCGCATGTGTTTGGACTGTGGGGGAAACCGGAGCACCCGGAGGAAACCCACACCAACATGGGGAGAACATGCAAACTCCACACCGAAATGCCAGCTGACACAAACCAGCACCCTTCTTGCTGTGAGTGCTCCCCACTTCCCTACCGGTAACCTATTAGTTTATTTATTCATTTATTTTATTTTCGGCTTAGTCCCTTTATTAATCAGGGGTCGCCCCTGTGGAATGAACCGCCAACTTATCCAGCATATGTTTTACATAGCGGATGCCCTTTTATCAGCAATACCCACTAATTCACACACAATTCACCATGTGTTTGGACTGTGGGAGAAACCGAAGCACCCCGAAGAAACTCTCGCCAACACGGGGAGAACATGCAAACTCCACATAGAAACGCCAACTGACCCAGCCGGGGCTCAAATCAGCGACCTTCTTGCTGCTACCTACTGCGCCACCATGCTGCCCCACGATTGTTTCAGTAAATTTTAAATAAGTAGTTTAAACAAACAGCTAACATCATATCAAGTTAATACATGTACAGTCACTGGCCACTTTATTAGGTACACATGTCCAACTGCTCATTAACACAAATTTCTGATCAGCCAATCACATGGCTGCAACTTAATGCATTTAGGCATGCAGACATGGTCAAGATGATCTGCTGCAGTTCAAACTGAGCATCAGAATGGGGAAGGGGTTTTTGCTGACAGACAGGCTGGTCTGAGTATTTCAGAAACTGCTGATCTACTGGGATTTTCAAGCACAACCATCTCTAGGGTTTACAGAGAATGGTCCAACAAAGAGGAAATATCCAGTGAGCGGCAGTTCTGTGGGCACAAATGCCTTGCTAATGCCAGAGGTCAGAGGAGAATGGCCAGACTGGTTCCAGCTGAAAGGCAACAGCAACTCAAATAAGCACTCGTTACAACCGAGCTCTGCAGAAGAGCATCTCTGAACACACAACACGTCCAACCTTGAGGCGGATGGGCTACAGCAGCAGAAGAGCACACCGGGTGCCGCTCCTGTCAGCTAAGAACAGGAAACTGAGGCTACAATTCACACAGGCTCACCAACACTGGACAATAGAAGATTGGAGAAGCGATGCCTGCTCTGATGAGTCTCCATTTCTGCTGACACATTCAGATGGTCGGGTCAGAATTTGGCATCAACAACATGAAAGCATGGATCCATCC